GACTTTTTATTTCCAATAAAATGGTCACTGCAAATGCGTGATCTATCATGTAGCTTCCAATCTGATCCATCAGGTCTAAGAAAGAAAAATTATTAAAATAAATAAATAAGCTCTATTATGGATATTTTTTGCAACTTTTGAATTTTTATTTACTAGTAAAATGTATTTACCTTAACTTTTTTATAGCTCTTAACCGTGTTTCACGTCTTTGTACTTTATGTGGATAATGTACATTAGATGTTGGAAAACAGTAAAATAATTTATCCGGAGTATCACAAAAATTATTTTTACAATTTACTACGCAACAATATAATTTTGCTTTTCTTTTTAATTGTTTATTTTCCATTTTTCGAATTTATTAAAAGGTTAGCGTGTTTCAGCCCAACTTTCCAAACTGATCGCTATGAGCGCCTAAGTCGTTTCACGAATCCCCTCTACGTTCATGCACGAAGCAAATTGGTAGTAGATTGCGAACCCTGCGGGGATATGCAATAAATTACAAATTTTTTAGTTGAAAAGTACTTCTGTTACTTATTGCTTGCTCGCTTTACTCGCATTGAAGTGTTAGTGTCACATAGTTCTGTAATAAACAAAATTACATTAATAAAGCAACTATTAACATATACAAACATATTTTATTAAATATTTATTATTGTTAAATAAGCCCCAGATGACTGCTTTTTTGAAACTGTAGTTAGTAATGATGTATCAGAATTTGAAATAACATGTGTAATATGTGTATCATCTGTATATTTTATTCTATTATTTATTTCAGTTAAAGGTTTTTTTGTATTATCATTTGTATATTTTAATCCTTTATTTGTTTCAGTTAAAGGTTTTTTTATATTAGCATTTGTATATTTTATTCTTTTATTTGTTTCAGTTAAAGGTTTTTTTGTATAAGGTGTTGAATGAATTAAAGGTTGAGACAATGTAACACTTTACACTAGATAAAATCCGAAGTGATGACGTACTTTTCGCAGTTTCTAAATCGGCAATCAGATTTTGCATACCATTTTTTGAACTAAGAGTACCTACAAGGCGGTGATTTCTTTTGTTCATCTTGAAAATCTGTCAAAAAACAAATAATATTAATTAAAAAAAATTATATTATATAATTATATTAAGTAAAAAAAAAACAAATTATATTAATTAAATTAATTGTATTAATTATATTAATTAAAAGAAGATAAAATTTTAACAACAACATAATCATCAAAAATTGTAGTATTTATTCTATCACATAACGGAAATTTAAAACATTTTCCAGCAATTTGGTCAATTATTATTGTGGCGGCTGTGAGCGCCCCGAGAGACGGCGGCTCAACCGCCACACCGCGCGCGTATAGGAGCGCCCCTACGGAACAGCAACCTGTCCTACGCGTCCTGCTGTGCGTAAGCGTCAGCGGCACGGCAACCGGCCGCGCACAATAAGCACGTGCTCCCAGGATGACATAAGGATAACAATAAGCTCACACCGCTAGGCGGCTGAGCTTTCGCGTAAAGAAAGTTCGGTAATTATTTACAAAAAGACCCCACTCGCCAATGACCTTGACCTTGACATATGTTGTCAAGGTCACCCTCCTGAGTGACCTTCAGAAGGTTTTAGCCGGCGGTCGTTCTTTATTAAAAAGTTATTAACAAAAAAAGTTTGAAAAATATAGCAGCTATTTTGAGTATTAAAAGGTATAAACGACTAATTTATATGTGGAAATAGTTCACGCATACACTTTCCACGCGAAACGAGGTGCCACATGGATTCGTGACGCGCTTTGCAAGCTCGTTTTTATATATATATATATACATAATAAATTAGACAGTGCTCGTAATTAATTAATGTTTATTATATGTGTTAATTTTACAGCGGATACATTCTGCGCATAACACGAAAGAAAGCATCAATTCTTTCGTTGAAAGTGTATTTCTTTTTAAAGACAAATTCTGCCAAGTAGTGAACGTAATGTTCTTCCACAATGCCAAATCGAGGTATTGCTCCTCGCATATCCCTCCATAATCGTTCTATATTTTGGGTGTGGACACCAGTTTGCGGGTCCACAAAATTTTGGGTATGATTAACCACGTAATGGGTGTAATCATAATTACGCAGAGTATCGTATGCACGCCAACAATCAGAATAAATTATTGAGCCAGGATCAATTCGACGCTTAATGATGTCGACGAGAGTGGTACTGGTGCGATCTTTGACGGGCACGATGAACATTTTGCCACTGACTCGTTCAATGGCACCGAATACCCACTGACCTTTAATGATTCGTCCCCTATTATATTTTCGTTTCCCTACTTTTGCTTCGTCAATCTCGACGATAACGCCTGACCCACCAAGTAATTCTTCGTCAGCTATAATCCACTGCTGAAGTAACTGTAATAGGACATTTTCATTACACTAGCAGTCATAATTAAAAAATTAACAAAAAAAATTGGAAAAATATATTAGATTAAAAAGTTATAACTCATGTAGAACAATTATAGATAGCAATTATACAATTATAAAGCAGCAACTTTACGATTTTTCCCTAAAAATGACAAAATATTTACAGCGCTTTAAAGTATAATAACTTTCTATTTTACTTACCTCCCGACAGAAGTTGGTCCAGTCAACAACACTGCGTGAAGATAAACACAATTGTTCTTGAAGAAATATTTGGCGTGGTGGCCGAATCATTAAAAAATAAGCGATGAATCTGCAAGTTTTCACTATTCCAAGATGTCCCTGGGAAAACCAAGTGCCAGCTAAAGCACTTTTCCCAAACGTACAAACAACTCGTCGCTTTTTCTTCTTGCAGTGTTCGACATAATACTTGTTTTGACATTTAAATTTTAATGATTTATTATCAAAATCGAGTTCGATAATATTACTACATTTTGGACACGTAATGCGATCGCGAATAACTCCTTTTTCGCACAAAAACCTAATCAGGGCTGCGTAGTCGTATGATAAATGTAGAAATTCATGTAGAAACATGATTGCCTTTTAGCGTCTACACCAAAACTAAATATGCTGGAAGATTGTATTTCTTGAAAAGACTGTGTTTATGTTCTGTGTTTACAATTTTCACGCGAGACGAGTTGTCACGGGTTCGTGGCGTGCTTTACGAGCTCGTTTATTGTATATCGCCACAAATATTCACACAGATGATTGACTAACTTATCTTGTCTAATACCACCTCTACTTAAACGAGCTTGTAAAGCGCGCCATGAACCCATGTGGCACCTTGTTTCGCGTGGAAAGTGTATGCGTGAACTATTTCGGGACTACCGCACCT